ACACACATATACTATATATATATATATATATATACACACATATACTATATATATATATATATATATACACATATACTATATAATTTCCATACGAGTTTCTTTTTGAACAAACTGTACATGCATTCTTTTTAGTAAACCAGCAACACATCATGTTTTTCAGTTATTTTGTCATCTGGTAGAGTATTCCTTGTGGATCTGGAAAAGTTCCAAAAGATCAAAACATTGACAGCCAATCAGAATTCCTCCTGGTTTAAAGAGCTCAGGCATTTAAAGTGGCAGACCACAAAACCGCAGCAAATGCTACAATAAACAGAATGTTATCATGCTTTGGTGTGGACGCTATTATCTTTATCGTTATAATTATCTTTATATTTATCATTCTTGGTGTGAACAAGATTTAGGCCCGGTTTCACAGACGGGGCTTAGCTTAAAGGGGTCATATGATGTTGCTAAAAAGAACATTATTTTGTGTATTTGGCGTATTGAAATGTTTATGCGGTTTAAGGTTAAAAAAACACATAATTTTCCACGTACTGTACATTATTGCTTCTCTATGCCCCGCCTTTTTGAAACACAACGATTTTTACAAAGCTCATCGTTCTGAAAAGCGAGGTGTGCTCTGATTGGCCAGCTATCCAGTGCGTTGTGATTGGTCGAATACCTCAAGCGTGTGACGGAAATGTTACGCCCCTTACCATATTGTGATGCCCTGTCCGGCAGGAGCTACGAGACAAAAACATTAAAACGCATTATAAACGAGGCATTTGTTGCATCCAGTGGGGACATAATCTCTTTGGATTTGAGACTTTAGTCTTTGCAACTTTACAGACCTTCTTTATGCACCAAGAGCTTGTAACACTCCAAAGAAAAATTGAAATCGCATCATATGACCCCTTTAAGCCAGGACAAGGCCTTAGTCAAATTAAAGTGTTAAAGCAGCTTTTATAAAAATGCCTTAAAAGAAACCGTTATATGTGTGCATCTTGAGACAGAACAAAGGCACTGACATATTTTAAGATATGTCAGAACAACATATTTTCAATAGAGATAGCTCAAACATGCATTTTAATCTGGGACTAGTTTTAAGCCTTGTCTGTGAAACCAGAGGATAGTGTATAGTGTTTTTTTTTTAGGTGGATTTTTAAAGCATTTGAATAATGAAGGATTTGTTTGTTTTTAGAAGTCAGTATGAACCAGGAGAAATTGGCTAAACTTCAAGCCCAGGTCCGGATAGGGGGCAAGGTAAGAAGTATTGTGAACAATAATGGACCCTGAACAATAATGATTTTGAACATATATTATGATTTTGCTGTTGTTGTTTTTCTGTCTTTACTCCGTTTCGATTCGTTTTCTATAGGGAACAGCACGCAGAAAGAAGAAGGTGGTGCACAGAACGGCAACAGCTGATGACAAGAAACTTCAAAGTTCGTTAAAGAAGCTTGCAGTCAATAACATAGCTGGCATTGAAGAGGTAGATCAGTAGCTCTCTCGTCTTTCTCCGCTCATCTCATTCTGTCCTGTTCAGAGAATTGAGAATTTGATCTTGTTTTGCAGGTGAATATGATTAAAGATGATGGCACAGTCATTCACTTCAATAACCCCAAAGTGCAGGCGTCTCTGTCTGCCAATACGTTCGCCATCACAGGCCACGCAGAGACCAAACAGCTTACGGAAATGCTCCCGGGAATCCTCAGTCAGCTCGGCGCTGACAGTCTCACAAGTCTGCGCAAACTCGCCGAGCAGTTTCCCAGACAGGGTGGGTATAGATGTGGCTTTGAAATAGGGGTGAATTTACAGTTTAGTGTAGATGCTGACATCGCTGTTTCATTGCTTTTTAAGTTCTGGACAACAAAGCTCCAAAAGTAGAAGATATCGATGAAGAAGATGATGATGTCCCAGGTATGAAGTTAGAAGTTTTTCTTTTGAACAAGCTGTAAATTGTACAAATCCGATTTAAGTCATTTTATTCTTTTTTTCACAGATCTTGTAGAGAACTTCGACGAGGCATCAAAGAACGAGGCAAACTGAGCATTGGACCTTCAGTAACTGCTGTTCAGAACAAAGTCTCCTGCAGTATTTTTAAATTAGAGTGACAGACATATCATTTCAACACCATTCAGTGAAACCAGAGACTTTTATATCATAAATTGGCTGTCCCAGATCCATTCCTGACCTTTCTCCTGCATTTATACAGAAAGACGGACGGTTAATTGAATGCTTAATGGTTCTAAATCTTATCATGTTGCTAGTTGAAATGCTAGTTTTGACGGCGATGGCTATAAAAATGAGTCTTAATGATTTTTTTCTGTTAATTAAATAAAAATAAAGCTCATAAAACGTTTCTATATGGTGCTTTGCTTTTCCTCAAGATGCTTGAAAAGATTTGTCATGGGGTCTGTAGTATCATTAGGCATGTTATTATTATTATTATTATTGCAAGAGTAAAATGTGTTGTCCCTTTGAAATGTTTAAAATGCTAGCTAGGTTACACCAAAACACTATTGCTAGTTCTTTTGGCCAAAATTGTTGTACAGTTGATTAATAATATCCTATGTATTTTAAATTTGATCATTTTTGTTTTTACTTTTGCAGTATAACAGCCACCTAGAAACTGTTTATGTTAAAAATGTCAGCAAAGTCATAAATAAAGATGGTCAATGATCATTAAATCTGCAAATGCCGATATTCACACAGATCACGGCGGAGCGAATTAGTGTGACCAGCTTGAACCCGATGCAAAATCTGCGTGTAGAAATCTTTCCCCTCAAGATATTTGCATGGACTCCTATTGAAGTCACTGGATTTCGCCCATGAAAATGTGCCAATTGACAGTAAACGTGACTGCACCTTAACCATAGGCTTAATTTGAGATCTAAATATGATCAAAAATGATACCTAATATTTCTATAAATTTTTTTATGTTGATCCATGATCACTGTTTGCAAACTGGCTGTATTTTTATTTGTGATGTTTCAATAATCATAACATTTACAGTGAGTCAATATGAATTCACATTTATGGCTTTTTGGTGAATTTTCGCAGGCGAAATCCAGCCATTTCAATAGGAATCCATTTCGTACGCATGTTTTGCAGAAAATTGCAGAGATTCAGTCGCTCACCAACACAAATTTGCTTGGATTAAAGCGACTTTTTTCTGCGAGTTGTGCTTCATATATGGTTCCTGTATTGTGGACCTTTTTGCCTTCCATATGTGACCCTGGACCACAAAACCAGTCTTAAGTAGCACGGGTAGGGCCTATATTTGTAGCTGTAGCCAACAATACATTGTATGGGTCAAAATTTCATGCCAAAAATCATTAGGATATTAAAGGGATGGTTCACCCAAAAATGAAAATTCTGTCATCATGTACTCACCCTCGTGTCGTTCCAAACCTGCATGAGTTGTTTTCTTAAAGGGGTCCTATTATGCTTTTTCACTTTTTTAATTTTAGTCAGTGTGTAGTGTGTATGTTTGGGCATAAAAAAGATCTAGAAAGTTACAAATCTCAAAGTCCACTCCAAAGGGAGATATTTAGTTTTTAAAAAATCTATTTTCAAGAACTACAGCAAACGGCTCATTTGGACTAAAGCGTTTGGTTTCCGGGCTTTGTGATATCACAAAGCGGCTCATTAGAATTTCATTACAAAGAATTCCCGCCTACAGAAATTCTAATGGTTGGGGGGGTGGGGAGGGGCGAGGTCGTGGTTAGAACGCTTAGTTGAGTGACTGCATCAGACGAGATGACGAAGAAGAAGTGCTGCTGCAGAGTAAACCAAGAAGAAGAGCTGCTGTGCTGTAGCCTCAAATTTTTGGCATGTCTAGAACAGCGGTTCTCATTTCCAGTCCTC